ATATGGCCTGATATACACTGCTATCGCCATCAGCAATAATTGTTTTATTATCAGTCCATGCATTTCAAGGCTATTTTTAAAGCCTTCTACAATGGCGTCACTTTCCATACTTGTAGAGCTAGCGTTGCGGTCAAAATTTTTATAACATTTGTGACTGCGTGACTCGAGTCCATTTCGCTCCGCTCTGTCACACACCGTACAAAATTTGTTGCGGATACCAATGAAGAGAACTTTTTTTGTGCGGTAACCAATTATGGCACCAACACCGGAAAGTGAATCGTAAGCGTTGCCGTACGACCTCTTCATCCAACTACCATCCGCTACAACGGTTATGTATGGAATGCCATTTATAGTTTCATTCCTTTCGAGGGCGAGTTGTTTTTCTACTTCGCCTGCCATTTTCATACTTTCTGTAGCTGTTTTTTGAAAATCATCGACTAGATTTTCGCGATGTTTTATATAAGTCTTTTCAGACATGCAAGGAATATTTATACCTGCACAGAACTCTTCCAGTTGGGCATAACCATTTCCAACTGTTATAGTTGTAGCTACAGCAGCTTGGTTCAGATCCAACTTTTCAGGTTCTCTGGATTCTGACCATATATTGTCTTCATAGTTGCACATTTGACATTTGAAAAAATATTGTGTCATCAACCCTTCACGATGAGATTTTATGAGTTTCCAATCTTTAAATTGGCACTCTATTCCTCGCGCATGGTTATCAAATGTTCTGTGCATTTCTGTCCATATAAAAGAAAAATCGACAATACTACGGTCTTTGGGCATGCATTCTTGGATACAATTTGTATCTAAAAGGCCTTTATTATCGATAACGAGATTTTCGTTATCTTCGTTATGTACAACTTTTTCTATATACATACCTGGTACGTCGCTTTTTATATCTTCGTACTGCATTTCTTTGATACTGATGTTTGAATCCATCTTGTCTGATGATTCCATTGATTCAACAAACTTGATGGATTCATTTTCAGTACCATTACACGCAGACTTACAACCACGCAGACTTTCAACCCGCTGTAGGTTTAGCATTTGGCGCCTAGAAAAAAATAATCATATAATATTTATACGCATTTCAAACATCATATATTCATTATATACTCATAAAACATTATATACTCATTATTCCTTTCAATTTTTAAAAGAAAACTTAAAAAAGATACAATCTTAAAAGTAAGAACAGTTTTTTTCTGATTTTATTGTCAACAAATTATCATATACAATACAATATTATGTTCAAAGTAATTAAAACCTTGAAGAGTAAATATAACTAGTACATGATAAACTTTTCTGGCATTATTGTTACGAACCAGCCCACGTCAGAATAGACGCCTCTGGCATTATTATTATCACCAGCCCACGTCAGAATAGACGCCTCTGGCATTATTATTATCACCAGCCCACGTCAGAATAGACGCCTCTGGCATTATTATTATCACCAGCCCACGTCAGAATAGACGCCTCTGGCATTATTATTATCACCAGCCCACGTCAGAATAGACGCCTCTGGCATTATTATTATCACCAGCCCACGTCAGAATAGACGCCTCTGGCATTATTATTATCACCAGCCCACGTCAGAATAGACGCCTCTGGCATTATTATTATCACCAGCCCACGTCAGAATAGACGCCTCTGGCATTATTATTATCACCAGCCCACGTCAGAATAGACGCCTCTGGCATTATTATTATCACCAGCCCACGTCAGAATAGACGCCTCTGGCATTATTATTATCACCAGTCCATATTGAAGTATGTCTCTGGCATCAATTACTATTAACTAACTATTAAGATTAATTAACTGTGTAACTACTATTTATATAGAGTGTTATTTTCATCAATAAATTAGAAAAAAACTGTTCTTCATATTTTACTTTAATATCTCATGGATGAACTGGCGGTACACGTATCTTTTTATCGAAATATAAGATTAATTTTAAAAATTTGTTACTTGCTAAAGAAAAATCACAGAAGAAAAAAACCATTAACTTCACTTTCCATATTTTATACAGGGTGTTCCATTTTAAAAGTTCCACTAGATTATTTTTTAGCAAAACATAAGAAAAAAATGTTTCAAACAAAAGTTGTTTGGTTCGAAGGGGGACACAAGATGGTGCTATTAGTTTGACCCTGAAGAGTCATTTGAAGGTCACATGAAGATCACCTTGAATTTCTGAAATGAAACTCTCTATATATTTTTGCATATTTTTGTAGTTTATCTCGAGAGCTTTCCAAAACACTAATTAAGTATTTTTTCATTAAGTACTCTTCGAGTTATGAGGCTTGAAATAATTTCTTAATTTTACATACACTATTAAATATGTAGAAACATATTCATTTTTCGATTATCTTACCTTAATACTTTTATGCACAGAACAATGTGAGGAATCAATTGGTGTAAAGAAAACATAATAGTTTCTAAAAAAAAATATGTAATTTTCAATTAACAATTACATATTTCTTCTCAAAAACAACTACGTTTTTTATTTACACTAATTGATTCCTCACATTGTTCTGTACACAAAATTATTAAGGCAAGATAATCGAAAAATGAATATTCTACTAGATATTTTATGATTTATGTAGAATTAAGAAACTATTCAAGCCTCATAACTCGAAAAGTGCTCAATGAAAAAATACTTTATTATACTTTATTATGTTTTGGAAAGTTCTCGAGATGAGCTACAAGAACATGTAAAAATATATAGGATGTTTCATTTAAAAAAATTGAAGTGACCTTGGAGTGACCTTCAAATGACTCTTCAAGGTCAAACCAATGGTACCATCTTATTGGTCCCCTCGAGACCAAACAACTTGCTTCTGAAACATTTTTCTCTCCCGGGCTTGGTTTTCGAGATATTCGACTGGATGGATTAAAATGGGCCACTCTGTACATACACACACACACACACACACACGCACACGCACACACACATACGTATATACATACGTATATACATACATACATACATACATACATATACAGACAGAATAGTAATGGTTGCAGCACTTTTATTATAAAATTTAGGTACAAGTTAGTAATCATATATCGTATTTCGATATATCAAAATATCGAAACTTGCTTATATACAGGATGTCCCAAAACTCATAATCAATCTTTCAAAGACAGATTCCTGAGATCATCTGAAGACGATTTTTCCTCAACGAAAATGTCGAGGCACTAATAATTTTCGAATAATAAGTGATTGGAAATAAGGGACTTTTTGTAAACTAAGCTTTGCAGAAATAATATATTAACAAAACCACATTCTTCGATTAATTTTAAATAGAGTTTACTTTAGTTGAGTTTTAATTAAAGGCTTAATTGCAAATATATATGATGAAAAAGATCAGGAACAAACAAAAAATGATGGCCTTTATTAACACTTTTGCTGAGGAAAAATGGTCCCAGATGGTCTCCAAATGATTCCAGAAATCTGTCTTTGTAAGATTGATTTTGGGACACCCTGTATATACAGGGTGGGCCATTTTAAGTGATCCACTCAAATATTTTGGAAAATAATGAAAAATCAAAAAAATGTTTCAGATAAAAGTTGTATGGCTTGAAGGGAGCCATCAGATAGTGGCAATGATTTGACCTTGGTGAGTCATTTGAAGATGACGTAATGGTAACCTTCAATTTCTTAAATGGAACTCCCTATTTTTTATTACATATTCGTGTAGCTTATCTCGAGAGCTTTCCAAAACACTTTAATTAAGTACCTTTTTATTAAGTACTTTTTGAGTTATAAGGCTCGAAATAATTTCTTAATTTTACATAAACCATAAAATATTTAGTAAACCATTCATTTTTCGATTATCTTACCTTCATACTTTTATGTACAAAATAATGAGAGGAATCAATTGGTGTAAAGAAAACATACAGTTGTTTTTAAGAAAAAATATGGAATTGTTAATTGCAAATTACATATTTTTTCTTTGAAACAACTATGTGTTTTCTTTACACCAATTGATTCCTCTCATTATTTTGTACATAAAAGTATGAAGGTAAGATAATCGAAAAATGAATGGTTTACTAGATATTTTATGGTTTATGTAAAATTAAGAAATTATTTCAAGCCTTATAACTCAAAAAGTACTTAATAAAAAGGTACTTAATTATAGTGTTTTGGAAAGCTCTCGAGATAAGCTACAAGAATATGCAATGAAAAATAGGGGGTTCCATTTAAGATTTCAAACTTGCTCCCCCTCACCGCCCAGGGGGAGGGGTGGGGGGGCTGATTTTAACGTCATTGTACGTCCCCCTCGAAATGACGAAATTTTGATTCTAACCATTTTTTCGTAGTGTGCTTATTTTTCAAGTTATTTGGCTGCCTAAGTTAAAATGGGTCACCCTGTATATATAGTTTAATTAATAAAACTTTAATTTTGTAAATTAAAAATATTTTAAAAAATGAGAAGATATATATATATATAAAATGATAAGATATATATATATATATATATATATATATATATATATGATTACTAATTTGTACCTAAATTTTATAATAAAAGTGCTGCAACCATAACTATTCTGTCTACAAGCTTATATAATTATGCTAAACATACCTTCTTGCCCATCCTTTCTTTCGAGAAAGTCGGAGGCGGGAAGGATATTTGTTTTTTAAGTCTTCTTTCATTTCGTATTTATTGCTGTAAGAGAATAAAATAAATAATAAATTTAAAATAATAAATTTTTTGAAATATTGTGGAGGCGATTAAAATTAAACGTCCTGTACATAATAATAATATTTCGTAATATCACAAATAAAATTAGCAATACTTACGAATAAAATTATACAATTACTGAATTGTCTAATTATACAATGTTGTTCGTTGGCTTCGTTACACGACACATACATATGTACACTTGGCAACGTTGGATCGTGCACGTGATAAGCGAGTGTCGGAAACAAGTGCGAAACATGTCCGGAAGATAATCGCAGTGTATCGAGTGCAGTAATATTCCATCCGTCGCATGATGAACACACGTAAGTACTGCGCTCGTATATATTAAATATTATATTATTAGTAGTACTACTAATAATCAGTAGGTACTTTTTATTAGTCTAGAAATTTATTAGCTATTTATATTACAAGAATATCATTAGAAACAATATAAATAACCATGTTAATTGTAATAATATTTGTTGGTTAGGTACAGCAATAGTAATGAGACATAGTAATTAAAGACTATTTTATAAAATAAGATGTTTGATAGACATATATACGTAAAAATTAATTAATGTATATTTATTTCAGGAAGAAGTGAACCAAGAGAGAGAATAAGAAATGTTCTCTCTCCGCTTGTATCCGCAAAAGGGCGGGAAGCAAACTCGGAGGTGAATCGTCGCAAATCAACATCCACGACGGTGCCAACAGCAACGGCGACGATGCAAAAGTCTACGGAGTCAAAGACACCATCAACTAAATACGACGGCGACAATATGACGGCGACAATGCAAAGAGCTACAATGACAGAGCCTATGTCATCAGGGGCGACAACGGCGACGACTTATGAAAATATAAAAGAAAATGTACATACAGATATGAAAGTAAGTAACTGCATATTTAATTATTGCATACTTTTCTTTTTACTGCATGCAGATCATAGATATATTAACATAGACTGCTCATACGGTAGCGAAGAGTGTCCTCCTGAGAGAAAAAGATAGCTAGAAAAAGATGAATTTATTTGTGTTTCTATATTTTTCTGGTACACGCGTGGTGCAATGTAAAGATATTAAAGTCAATAACTTGAAATTGCATTACGCATGTGTTAGAAAAAGGCAGATACACAAGTAAATTCATGCTATCCTTTTCTCTCAAGAGGATACTCTTTGCTACCTTATGAACAGTCTATGTAAATATATCTATGATGCAGTAAATATGTCTGTAAATAATACTTGGATTTTTGAAATTTTTGAGAAAAGTATATTATATTAGAGATGTCCAAAATTTTATTAAAATATTGATAGGTATGGTCGCTCAGTTGTAAATATTTAAAAATATAATTAGAATATATTTATAATAATAACATTTATCTCTTATTCTTTGTAATCTGAAAATCTATTATAATCATAAAATCTTTCATTTATTCTTTTAATTCATATTTATTTTTAATTACTAATTTAATGTACCATATAACGCTAAGACACTTTATGTTTTTAGAAACTTATGTTAAAAAACGTATTTTCTTATTGTCTTATTTCATGTATTTCAGAGAATTAATCAAGTCGTGCGTCGGGAAGTCGCCAAAGAAAGGAAAAAAATAAAAAGAGAAGAATTTCTACGGCGAAAAGCGAAATACACGACACGTATTCCACCGATACCTGCACCGCCTGTTTATGTGGCACCATCGCCAATACCAACATCGCTTTATGTACCAACTTACGCACCATTGACTTATGCAGCGCCGTTTACATGCGCACCACCGACTTATGCAGCACCGGCTCACCCACAACCACCGCCTTACGCAGCACCGGCTTACCCACAACCACCGGCTTACGCAGCACCGGCTCACCCACAACCACCGCCTTACGCAGCACCGGCTTACCCACAACCACCGGCTTACGCAGCACCGGCTCACCCACAACCACTGCCTTACGGAACTCCAAACGTAATTATTTCGCCTTACGGGCATGTGTATAGACCTCATTTTTAAAATTAATCATTGCAATGATATAAATTGATATACATTGAAAAATGTCCTTTTCCATTCTAAAGTATAATTTTCTTTCAAATAATTTTCTTTCTAAAGTATACTTTTCTTTCAAAAGTATAATTTTCTTTGAAATAATTTTCTGTCTGACATTTTGCTATTCTTTAAACACATATTTTAAATGCGCGATTGTTTCATTACATATATTTAATTATTGCATACTTTTCTTTTTACTATATGCACGACTTGATTAATTCTCTGAAATACATGAAATAAGACAATAAGAAAATACGTTTTTTAACATAAGTTTCTAAAAACATAAAGTGTTTTAGCGTTATATGGTACATTAAATTAGTAATTAAAAATAAATAAATATGAATTAAAAGAATAAATGAAAGATTTTATGATTATAATAGATTTTCAGATTACAAAGAATAAGAGATAAATGTTATTATTATAAATATATTCTAATTATATTTTTAAATATTTACAACTGAGCGACCATACCTATCAATATTTTAATAAAATTTTGGACATCTCTAATATAATATACTTTTCTCAAAAATTTCAAAAATCCAAGTATTATTTACAGACATATTTACTGCATCATTGATATATTTACATAGACTGTTCATAAGGTAGCAAAGAGTATCCTCTTGAGAGAAAAGGATAGCATGAATTTACTTGTGTATCTGTCTTTTTCTGACACATGCGTAATGCAATTTCAAGTTATTGACTTTAATATCTTTACATTGCATCACGCGTGTACCAGAAAAAGATAGAAGCACAAATAAATTCATGCTATCTTTTTCTCTCAGGAGGACACTCTTCGCTACCGTATGAGCAGTCTATGTTAATATATCTATGATCTGCATGCAGTAAAAAGAAAAGTATGCAATAATTAAATATGCAGTTACTTTCATATTTGTATGTACATTTTCTTTTATATTTTCATAAGTCGTCGCCGTCGTCGCCCCTGATGACATAGGCTCTGTCATTGTAGCTCTTTGCATTGTCGCCGTTGTATTTAATTGATGCAGTCTTTTTGTTTTCATTACAAATTCTAAATCTTTATTATGAAAGGATAAACATGTTATATATGGCTAGTGTTTAATGTACGGTGCACTATTCTGTGCAGGTACAGTAAAAATTATATTTAATTTCATAAGTAATTATAATTACTTATTAATGTAACTTATAATTACTTATAAAGTTAAATATAATTTTTACTGTACCTGTACAGAACTGAAATAAGATTTTTACTGTACCTGTACTTATTATATAATAACTTGTAATATTTTGCAGTCTTTTTGTTTTCTTCAGAAATTGTAAATCTTTATTATGAAAGAACAAACATGTTATATATGGCTAGTGTTTAATGTACGGTGCACTATTCTGTGCAGGTACAGTAAAAATTATATTTAATTTCATAAGTAATTATAAGTTATATAAATAAGTAATTATAAGTTATTGTAAATAATTATATAATAATTACTTTTAATAACTTGTAATATTTTGCAGTCTTTTTGTTTTCTTCAGAAATTATAAATCTTTATTATGAAAGAATAAACATGTTATATATGGCTAGTGTTTAATGTATGGTGCGTTATTCTGTACAGGTACAGTAAAAATTATATTTCATTTCATAAGTAATTATAATTACTTATTAATATAACTTATAATTACTTATAAAGTTAAATATAATTTTTACTGTACCTGTACAGAACTGAAATAAGATTTTTACTGTATCTGTACTTATTATATAATAACTTGTAATATTTTGCAGTCTTTTTGTTTTCTTCAGAAATTATAAATCTTTATTATGAAAGAACAAACATGTTATATATGGCTAGTGTTTAATGTACGGCGCACTATTCTGTGCAGGTACAGTAAAAATTATATTTAATTTCATAAGTAATTATAAGTTATATAAATAAGTAATTATAAGTTATTGTAAGTAATTATATAATAATTACTTTTAATAACTTGTAATATTTTGCAGTCTTTTTGTTTTCTTCAGAAATTATAAATCTTTATTATGAAAGAATAAACATGTTATATATGGCTAGTGTTTAATGTATGGTGCGTTATTCTGTACAGGTACAGTAAAAATTATATTTCATTTCATAAGTAATTATAATTACTTATTAATGTAACTTATAATTACTTATAAAATTAAATATAATTTTTACTGTACCTGTACAGAACTGAAATAAGATTTTTACTGTACCTGTACTTATTATATAATAACTTGTAATATTTTGCAGTCTTTTTGTTTTCTTTAAAAATTCTAAATCTTTATTATGAAAAAATAAACATTTTATATATGGCTAGTGTTTAATGTATGGAGCGCTACTTTTATAAGTAATATTAGTATTTTATTAAATATTGAAGTATATGAATAAATATATTATGTGTAAATAATTGTAAAGCTACACTAAGCATATTCTTTTCTCCCTATTCCTTGTCTCTATATCTCCTAAATATAAAAACACTCAATATAAAAACACTAAATATCAATAATATTATCAATAATTATAATATTTCGAATAAAAATAAGAATAGTAATTATTATTATTATAATTATTCTTTTATGTTTATTTTACATATTATTTATTATAATTAGTATTTTTTCATTTTCAAATTCATCTTTATGTTAAATATTATTTATGTTTTTTCATTTTCAAATTCATATTTATATTAAATATTATTTATTAAGATTATTTTTTTTCATTTTGAAATTCTTCTTTATGTTAAATATTATTTATTAAAATTAAAATATACTTATTCAAAATATTCTTATTATCAATTAAATTATATATTACTTATTTTTCAAATTTAGAACTACATATGTTGAATTATATGTGTATACGTATATACGTATATATATATAAGATCTATGTATGTGATTTATATCGATTATTATGAACAAATAATCTTGTTGTTTATTGTTCAATATAACTTATACAAATAGAGAGAGAGAGAGAGAGAGAGAGAGAGAGAGAGAGGGAGATGGAGATGGAGATTGAACATCTATCGTAATATCCTGGAACTAATTTGTTGCTATTTTTTATTTTCACTTTACCTACACTCACCCATACATACACACGAATCGTTCTACATACTATACTTTTATATTTAAGTTCTAATTTCGATTTCAAAGGTTCAACAATGTTTGTTCGTATAATTCGACCCAAGCAAACTTGTTTTTACATTTATACAAACTATATAGCTTTTATATGAAGTACATATTATGACGAGTTGACAGTTCGTCTACAATTCGAGACGCCATATTCAGATAAAAATGGATAAGGAAAACTGTAATTTCATAATTTTTTCTCGTTTTTCATATAAAATCGAAGTTTCCTAGGATTATTTATGTATGTATTGCAATCCTACATAAATATTTTCAATTCTGTCAAATTAGTGCGACGAAAGACCAGAACTACGAAAATGGTAATTTTGTCGATAATACAGTCGAGTACAGCATCCCCTTAACAAAAATAATATAAGAATAAAGATAAAGAAAAATAGTCGAATAGTACATCCTAATCGCTTACGAATTTCACACATCAAGCCATCGAAAAGCTAATAACTAAACAATAATTAAATACAATTTCAGATGGATTCCAGAGCCAGAAGACTAATTGCAATAGTAATACTCCTAATAATGCAGTTTCTTCAAACGTTCGGAATAATAGGATACGATTGTGGATCATCATCGGCGAATCTAACGACCTTATCTTTATTAAATATAGAAGAAGGACATCCCTCAAAAACAAGTTAATTCTAGTACAATTTACGTGCAATTACTGCAAATTAATGATTTCACATCAACCCAAATCATACAATGCAAAGTCGAGATCGACAGATTAATTAGAAAATGTGGAATGTTCTCTCACACTATGGATGTACATAATGGAAAATATTCTTACATTGAACCAATAACCCGCCAAACTTGTAGACGTATGCATGATTACGGCAGCTATCAACTGGGAAACACATACATAACCGGCTTAAAATCAAATACAACCACCACACGCCCAATAACACTGGCCGGAACTGTAGATAATGACGGCAAATGGTTTGGAGGAGCATATTCCGACCCTTATGGAACATGGTCGGATATGCTCGTAATAGAAATAATAAAAATTACATTACACGATTACACTGCAGATGTGCGAATCAATAGTAATCAATTACAACTCAGATCGGGTATGACTTGTGAATTCGGCTCCGTAGAATGTATAGACATAGAAGGAGGAGATACATACTGGGATCCAGTTCCTGTCGGTCCTTGCAAATTTTTCGACTTCGGTATAATATATGAAGGATACGCCAACAAAATAATTGACGAAGAACAACGTCAAACAATCTATTCCCTCACCACTCAAGACGTAATATTTGCTTTAACCAGCATAGGAAGACATGAAGTATGTGGATATTCATTAATACGAACAGAGCATCCTAAATTATTAGTTTTCGAAACTGTACGTGGCACTGTAGTTTTTAGTAAACAAACACGCACATCTAACTTAGATATCTTCGCATATATGAACTCAAAATTTGTCTACGTAGAGAAACACATTCAAGCAACTCAAATCAAGCAACTGTATCATGATATCTTGTTACAACAGTGCAATTTGGAACGAAAAATGATGCAAAACGCTTTAGCTATCGCTACACAATCCCCAGACATTTTTGCATATCACTTAATGAAAGGACCTGGATACATGGCTCTGCTAGCTGGTGAAGTAATTCACATAGTAAAATGCGTACCCGTCGAGGTAGCACTCACTCGAACAGAGCAGTGCTATAATCAATTACCGGTAACTCGAGAAAACCAAACCTATTATTTAACTCCTCAAACTCACATACTATTACGACAAGGCACTCAGACAACGTGTAATTCTTTCGCGCCTGCTATGTATCTCTTAGGAGATGCATGGTATAAATTAACACCCAGACCGGTAGACACTCTACCACCTACCATCATGAAACCATTAACAAAGCCCACATGGAAATATATCAGCCCAGGATCACTTGCCACCAGTGATATATACACGGAAACCGAGTTAAATGATCTCAGAGACCATATAATGTTCCCGGCAGAACGACCCGCACTCTTAAATACTGTAGCCCGAGTAATCATGGGAAAAACCATCTCTTTGGAGGAAGGCTCCATCTCCAACTTATTAGATAAAAATACGATCGAAAAAATAGCTCTATCTACATGGACAAAATTTTGTAGCAAATTCTTGATTTTCGGAAACATTAGCGCGGGATTACTCGGCATCTATTTAACCATAAGAATTATTAAACTAATATTAGATACAATAGTACATGGATACGCCTTGCATACAGTATACGGTCACTATATTTATTAGGGGCCATCTGGGACTCTCTAACCCATCTATTATTACACTTAAAGACGGGACCACCATCACAAAAAAGGACAGCCACCGCACCAACCTCTTAATCCCAACAGCAGCAACCTCTGATTCCCAGCAGGACGTCTGAGACGGTTCGCTCCGAAAATTTTACAATACCAATGCATGTTTATCCCTCTCTCTCTTCAAAGGAGCATACTTCTTATTCACTTGAAATCAAGGAACCAAAATCTTAAACAGACGTAAACAATACTCTGAACCACACCCTGACAACAACAAAAAAATCTCTTTTTTTGTATATAAATCTTTCGCACTAAAAAAAAAAAAACAAAAACACAACGGAAAAATCAACCAAACTCTATTATCACAAGCAATTTTAAATATTCTACAGAATAAAGAAAAATGGAGATCAAGTGCATCGAAACGAACTTCTTAACACGAGGACGTTTAGACGTAACAATAGTCAAGGTGGAGTCACCGCTCCTCTTCTGCGTTCAACTGAGAAACGGCGAGAAGGATTTAAAGGAATTAGAGGAAGAATTAGAATTCAGGATGGTCAGGAAGGCCACCTATCTACACATCTGGCCCGAAGATTTTAAAGAAAACATGGCCGTCGCAATAAAGGATTGTAAAGCCTGGCGGCGGGGCATTATAAAAAGAATTAATAGGACGAACTGAATGGTCAAAATCAGTCTAGGGGACTGGGGCCGATCAATCTGGAGGCGTATGTGCGATGTCTACCTTCTGGAGGACAGATTCAAGGAGTTATCTTGGCAAACTATAACCTGTGGTTTAGCCTACACCGGTCCTGTCCAGAACGCCCGAGCCTGGCCCAAAGAAACCAAAGATCTCTGCCGACTACTTCTCGAAGGACGAAAGGGATGGATCCATATAATCCGCCCCCTCAATGAAGGGATGGCGCTGATTAAATTAAACGTAGAAGGCATACCCGCGACCACTTCATATTCTCTTCGCGACGCACTTATTTTATTAGGTCACGCTCAACTTAGTACTAGTGTAGCCGTAAATGTAATTCCAACCGTATAAAAACGATGGAACACATTCCATACATTATTAAGCATTATTTCATATTATTAGTTATTATCTTACGTATATACTCTATATAATCATTCTTATGTTAGTAGAAAAAAAAAATATATATATATGTATATACAGGGTGGGGCATTTATCTTGAGACAAGATAATATCTCGATTGGAGTCGATTATTTTGAAAAAAGTTTTAGACAAAAGTTGTAGAGCATTAAAGAGGCTATCGAAAGGTCCATATTACAACTTCCGGTCTAGACCGAAAGTGGCGTTTTTTGATCAGAATTCGTTTTTTTAAATGGAAACACCCATTTTTTGCCGCGGATTTCGATTGGAAATTGAAAGAAAAATACTTTTTGTTCTTATTATTTTTTCGATTTAACCCATATTTTGGCCATAAAAAACAAAAAAACACAAAAATCTTGAGATAACGGAGTACTTCGTTGGGGTTGTGTCCAGGAGGCCAAAACACTTTGGATAGCATATATCACATGTAAAGTACAGACTACTTTTTCATGGGGTGGTGATTTTTAATCTAAACTTAATAAACTAGAAAAAGATTTAACGGATTACTTTAAAAAGGCATAATTGACATTTTTTTGTATTTTCGTTTTCTTTTTTCGTGAGTTTTTAAATTTAATATAGGGGATATTTACCCCATTTCATTTATCCTAATTTTTTTTCTGAAATCGGATTATCTTTTCAAATTTTGTCAGTGCAAAACTTTTTTAAAATGGAGGCTGTTTCTGTAGAAGAGAAGATAGAAATGATTCTTATTTATGGTGAATGTGGTAGAAATGTTGACGATGCCGTTACATTTTATGTTGAACGTTTTCCGGATAACGTGCGATCTCGAGCATCTTTTTATCGGGTTGTTACACAATTTCTACAAGAGGGAAGTGTGTCTAAGAGAAAAAGAGCCCGTCGAAACCTAGTTACTGGAACTGACAATGAAATTGCTGTATTAGCTGCAGTAAATGTTGACCCTCATGTCAGTACTCGACAAATTGCACGCGATTCTGGAATTTCGCGACGTAGTGTAGGCAGGATATTAAAACGTTATAAATATCATCCCTATCACATTTCGTTGCACCAAGAACTTCATGATAATGATTTTCAGAACCGAGTTATCTTTTGTCAATGGGCATGTCAACAAATACAACAAGATCCTAATTTCTTTGTTAAAGTCCTATTTTCAGACGAGTCCTCTTTTACGAACCACGGCACGGTTAATAGACATAACATGCACTACTGGAGTATTTAAAATCCACATTGGTTACGTGAAGTTGAGCATCAGCGTCAATGGTCTGTGAACGTTTGGTGTGGAATAGTTGGTGACAAGATAGTAGGTCCATACTTCATTGAAGGCAATTTAAACGGCGAAACATATCGTAATTTTTTACAAAATCAACTTCCGCTTTTACTTGAGGACGTACCCTTAAATGTAAGACAACAAATGTGGTTTCAACACGATGGATGTCCATCGCATTACTCCCGAACTGCTCGTGAAGTTTTGGATCGCGAATTCAATGGACGCTGGATCGGTAGAGGGGGTCCAGTAAATTGGCCAGCAAGATCTCCAGACCTTACGTCTCCAGACTTTTATTTATGGGGTTACATAAAGAGCGAAGTTTACAAAGAAGTGCCAACATCTCGTGAAAATATGATGCAACGAATCCGAAATGCTTGTGCCAAAATATCACCTGATGTACTCCGCAGTTGTGTACGATCTATGGAAGTTCGGATCAATAAGTGCATTGAAGTCGAAGGTCGCCAATTTGAGCACTTATTAAATTAAATTAATTTCAAACAGATAAGACAATCATACCAAATTGTGAGAGGCAAGGGGACTCACCTAAAACAAGCACTCCAAAGGGGATAAAAAACTACTACGTCCACGTCGTTATTCCTGGGTAGTGCTAAAAGTAGTTAATAGTTGTACAGTTTTTCAACCTTAAAGTTAAAAAAGGGATTCCAATAAGGTACTCCGTTATCTCAAGATTTTTGTGTTCTTTTGTTTTTTATGGCCAAAATATGGGTTAAATCGAAAAAATAATAAGAACAAAAAGTATTTTTCTTTCAATTTCCAATCGAAATCCGCGGCAAAAAATGGGTGTTTCCATTTAAAAAAACGAATTCTGATCAAAACACACCACTTCCGGTCTAGACCGGAAGTTGTAATATGGACCTTTCGATAGCCTCTTTAATGCCCTACAACTTTTGTCTAAAACTTTTTTCAAAATAATCGACTCCAATCGAGATATTATCTTGTCTCAAGATAAATGCCCCACCCTGTATATACAGGGTGACCCATTTTAACTTAGGCAGCCAAATAACTCGAAAAATAAGC